CAGTGTCAATTTAATATAGCGTAGTATTGTTTTTGGATGGTAAAAAGTGAAGGGGTCAAAACTTGACTTTGGAAAAAGTGGGGGGGACATGTCCCCCCCACCCCCCACCCCCCCACCCCCAAAATTACGTCCATGCTCACAATATAAAACTCAAACATTTCTTTTTTTAAATAACAAGGTGAAGATTTTCTTCTTAGTTGGCTTTTGTCTCAACTTGATTCATGTTTACCCCGCAAAGAACCAGTACAATCCTTCAGATGTTTCACTTCTCACGACGAAGGAACTACTGAGAATCTACACAAGTGTTTGTAGTTTTTGGCAAGCACTGTTCAAGACAAAGCAGTCTGGCCTTTTCTAATAATAGAGACGGTACCTTTAATTCTTTCTAATGCTGTGAGAACCAGAAAAACCCCGAAACCGTGCAGCCAAACCTTCCCCCTGTGCAGCTTACAGTGTAGTTTGGGTGGTCCAGTCCTTTAATTTAACTTGTGCAAGCATGCTGCGATATCATATTCCTCATTACGTAAAGACTGCTTCACTGTTAGAAAAACACAGCCAGTGGAAAACAAAACAACTGCTACTCATGTCCAGCGATCACATGTTCCCGTCCTCATCACGTGTCAAACATGGCTTCAGATAACACAAAGGGTGTGTGACACGTGTGGTTATAATAAAACAGTGTTAGCTGTATGTTTGTCCTCTGGGTGTATGGATGATCGTGGCAATGACGAGACGTTCCCTCCCTCAGAGGAGGAGTGACTGGGATGAAGAAGCCCTTGAGTTCTTGCTTATTTTCCCCTCGTGGTGTCTCACATGTACCCAACCCTCCTCCCTGATGGTGCGTAAGCAGACACTCTGCCCTCTGCCTCATCCTCATGGAAAGTGATGTCTAATTACTAACTGCAGCTGCGACGTCCTCATCATGACCGTTAGAAGAGCATCCTTAAGCTAGCGTCATCTTAGCTGCTTTCTGTGACGACGTATCATGAAACTGGGAAGTTCTCCTTTACTTACTGTACGCCTGTCTGGTATTGTGTTACTGGTACAGTAGACGCTGTTGTGTGCCAGGAGTCTGGTGGAACAATGAGGCTCTGGTGTTGTCATTATTTCTTAATGGCAGACTGAAACGCTGCCTATGACTGGGTTTCAAGGATCCTCCGGGCTCACGATTACAGACTGCGGTTAGACGCCCTGATGTGGTTTAGTGTGCAGTTAAGCTTCCTGCCCGTGATACAGTTACGAGTCACAGGTCGTGGATAACAACTACAGCACCCACTTAATACAAGAAGGAAGGATCCGATACAACGTGGAGATGAGAATGGCATCTAAATAAATAGGAGGGATGTGGTGGTGTGTCCTTTTAATTTTTCACAAATGAAAATGCTGATTTAAATGTATTTTATTATACTTTTACTGAGTTGGAAGTCAGAGAAGGGTAGAATGCCTTCTCCGGGTCAGGGATGAGGTCCTGCCTCTAGTAGAGGAGTTTAAGTATCTCAGGGTCTTGTTCATGAGTGAGGGAAAGATGGAGAGCAAGATCGATAGGCAGATGGGTGCTGCGTCTGCAGTGATGCAGGCGTTGTACCCATCTGTTGTGGTGAAGAGAGAGCTGAGCCAGGAGGCGAAGCTCTCGATTTACTGATCGACGTCCCTACCCTCACCTATGATCACGAGCTATCGGTAGTGACCAAAAGAACGAGATAGTGGATAGGCGTGACTGAAATAGGTCTTATCCGCAGGATGTCTGGGCTCTCCCTTGGAGATAGGGTGAGAAGCTCAGTCATCCTGGAGGGGCTCGGAGAAGATCCGCTGCTCCTCCACATCGAGAGGAGCCAGTTGAGGAATCTCAGGCACCTAGTTAGGAAGCTTCCTGGACGCCTCCCTGGCCATGTTTTTGGGGCACATCCAACTGGGAGGAGACCCAAGGGAAGACCCAGGACACACTGGAGGGACTATGTTTCACGGCTGACCAAGGAAGATCTTAGGACCCCTCAGAGGAGCTGGCCCAAGTGGCCGGGGAGAGGCAAGTCTGGGCCTCTCTGGGCTACTGCCCCTGCAACCCAGCACCGGATTATTGGCATGACACACAATCCCACATCCCAAAGGTTCTGGACTGGACTGGACTGAGTCACTGTGGAGGTCATTGGTGTCCAGTGGATTTGTGGTCATGTTCTAGAAATCAGTATGAGATGATCTGAGCTTTGTGACATGGTGCATTATTCTGCTGGAGGTAGCCATCAGAAAAAGGGCTCATTTGGACACAAAAAAAAATGCATGGACAGCAACAATTTCCAGGTAGGCTGTGGTGTTATGTCAGGCTGAGGTGTTACTGAGGGGTCTAGGATGCATTTTTCCAGTCTCTGTGGGAATCTTAGCCTCACTTTCCTGTTCTTAGCTGGCAGCGGTGACACTCGGTGTGGTTTTCTGCTGCTGGAGTCCATCTGCTTAAAGGTTCAGCACATTATGTTTCAGAGATGCTATCGGGCAGACCTCACCCTTACTCACACTCTGTACTCACACATCAACAAGATATTTTCATCCACTCACACAACTGTTGCTCACTGGACATTTTCTCTTTTCTGGACCAACCTCTATAAACGCTAGAGATGCTTGAAGGGCAGCCCCCCCCCCCCCACAGATCAGCAGTTTCTAAAAAGAAAAATAATAATAAAACTATCAAAATTAAGTAAATATTTTTTGTTCTTCATGCTGACGCTCTGTTGGAACTTTAGGAAGCCATGTTTGCCAACCTGAATTCCTTTGCTGCCATGCGATTGGCTGATGTGAGTGAACAAGCAACTGAAAGACTGTACCTAACAAAGTGGCCGATGCTGTGACTCTGTTCTAGAGGGCGACACATAATGTCCCCGAGATCACAAATTCCCTCAGGAAAGCCTGAGATTTGTCCTTTCCTTTAATGCTCATTTGAGAGCAGCAAAACATTCAGAAAAAACACACGACGGAGCTCGAAAACAAGACAGTAATGAGAGCTGATGAAGATGAAACAGTCTAATGAAAGAAAAACGTGGAGAGTGAGAGAGTAAGGTTGCTGCTGCAGATAGAAAACACGTGGATCACACGACACTCGCTGAAGTCGAGGACAACCGGACAAAATAGGACTTTGCTTCCAGCGCTGCATGTCTGCCTCAACTGCTTTAATCTCTGTGACATCCAGTTTGCCATTTTTTGGCAGCAGGAACACCTAAATATGTATTATTTTAAAAATACTTGATGGTTATTCAGCATTTTGTGACATTCCTAATATTCTTGTGAAGTATTTTTGTATTTTGCACTTCAGAAACAACCAAACGTCACCTAATCCACTTTCTCGAAAATGACCTTTAAAAGCCCACTTATGTACACATTATGTCCAACATGACAGATTTACTGATTTTCCTGGTCTTGTGTGACGTCTGATGTTATTGAAGCAGCTCATTCATGGGTCTTTTGGGAAATCAAGGCAAACTCAAAGAGCTTTGGTGCGTTTTCCACTAATTTGATTAAAAATTCAGCAAAAGCCTCACTGCCACCTGATGCAGTAAAAACAAAGTTCATTGTTAAAATGAAAGACAGCGTATGACATCCGGTTCTTATAACACATGATCGGTGTGAGAGGAAATGAACCATGTGATCAGTTGGATGAAAAAGGTTGTGATTGATTGTGTTTTGTTGAATGCTAACAGGGTATAAAGGATTTGTCATGCTCATCAGGTGGTGTAGACGTGGAGGAGCCTGCACAGCAAATGGCTGCTTCCTGGGACTAAGTCCGTATGAAATTATGATTTGAAATCCGAATGAGCGCATGCCAAATTTTGTAAGGGACACAAACATTCAACTAGAAAAGTACATTCAGATATTTTAGTTTTTGTAGATTCAATACATTTGTAGGGTGCTACATTTTCCCAAATTTTCACTTTTTTGAGTTTTGCACAGAAATTATTTTAACTTTTTCAGAGGAGGAGGGCAAAATTATGATTTTGTAATCCAAGTAAACACCTAAGTTCTTTTGGTTTTATTTATTTATTTATTTATTTAGCTTTGGGGTTTTTCATGCAAGTTTATGGATTTAATTCAGGATATTTCTTTTTATTTTTTACATTCTTCACAAACTTATAAACAACATCTGTTACAATGTGTCAATGTTTTATTCTTGTAAACTGTATATATCCTCACTCATTTCTAACATTTTAGAAAATTCCAATTGTATTGCTCTAAAATTAAATATTTCATTTCAGAAATTAAAGCATCTTCTCAAAACTTTAAAGTTTTCCTGCATCAAGATGAAATTATTCTCAAATTTTCCAAAGTTTTTCTATGATTTTCAGTCCTCCCCATTTCTTTGTTAATTTTAAAAACAAATATTTAAACATTTCGAGCAAACACAGTTTTACTGAGGATAAAATGTCACTACTAAGATTCATTTGAGAGGCAAACATTCAGAGATGGCCGTAACACTGGAGGATATTTCTCACACATGTGAACGCCTTGTGCTGTTTCTATGTGTTCTGGAGCAGAAACAACACAAACCAGTGATGCCTTAATTTTCCTCCAGCATCATCTAACAACCCTCAGCTGTGCAGGATTTCTAATAAAGTCTGACAAGGGTTCTTCTTCCACTTCCTCAGTTTCTACTCTAGCAAATGCTTCTAGTAAATTAAATAAACTGTTAGGATTAGCTGTCGTATAACCCCAAAATGGCATAAACATATTAATAATAGTCTTTTTTTTTACTTTTAATGTAAAAACGTACTTGTTTTGCCATTATTTTGACAGTTTTACTCAGAAATATTCTGTAAAGTTATGTATTTTATGTCTCTAAAACCTGGATTAGCACACATAAACCAAAAATAAAGACCTAAAGTTCAAGAACTGCTGAACTTTATGCCAACTAATGGTTGCACAGATGCCATAAAAGTAAAATGCAACAGGTTTGAAGCTTCAACCCGAATAAAGTTCGGTTTAACTCTGGATTAAAGTTTTAAATTCTACGGTTTTCTTACCTATGGTCGTGATCACGGTGATGGCGAAGTAAAAGGAGCCGGCGAATTTCCACTGCACACCGGCTTTGTGCGGCTTCAGCTGCAGCACCACCTTTTCCAACTGGTGGAAGTCCTCCGAGGACAGGTTGAAAATCCGGAGCAAGTCCTTTTTATTGTTGTCCAGCCTCTGCTTCTGGGTCATCTCCTCCTGGGACTCCAGCACGTCGAAGATCGCGGCGCCGACGATCAGATAGGTGAAGGTGCAGATGATAAGGGCGAGGGTCCGCACGTTTTGCCTCTTCATGGTGGAGTTTGTGTGCGTTAGGGGCGCAGTTGGAGGGTCAGCGCGGGGCCGGTGGACACGTGGCTCGGTCGGATCATGGCTGTAACGCTCTGCCGGAGCCGCGGAGCTCTCCGGCAGTTTTATGAGGATGAGAGAGGAGCTGTTCATTCAGCACCACCCCTCCCCTCTCTGGAGACACATCCCAACTCTCTCTCTCTCTCTCTCTCTCTCTCTCTCTCTCTCTCTCTCTCTCTCTCTCTCTCTCTCTCTCTCTCTCTCTCTCTCTCTCTCTCTCTCTCTCTCTCTTCCTCTCTCTCTCTCCCCCCTCTCACCTGTCAGTATCATGCAGTTATACCATTCCACTGTAAACTCTAACATTTTTACCTTTAAAACCAAAATAAGCACCAGCAACTACAATTGATTTTTTTTCTTTGAGCGTAAAGTTTTATTGTACCAATATTATTTATAAGGAAATAAAATAGATTTATCTGAATTGATGAAGATGATCTCAAGACCCCAAACTGACCCGACACAGGTCCCGCCCACAGCTTTGGGAACCACTAATCTTACAAGAGAAAATGTGCACATGTGGGGTTGTCTACGAAATGTCGTTTGAGTGTGTGCAGTCACAGAAAGTTTTTTTTTCCTTTATTTGCTTCACCTGACAGAATATCTGCAGGTTTTTTTTTTTTGGTATCTTTAATGTATTTTCAAGCCATATTTATAATTTCAGGAGCAACTGTTTTTTTAATTAGCTTCAAAAAATTGGAAGATTCATCCAGCAAAAACAAGGAGGAATGAATGAATGAATGAATGAATTTGGAAGTACAATTAAGAAATACAAATAGATCAATGAATTTAGAAGTAAAATTGAAAATAAACAAAACAGATAAATTAGGGAAATGAATTAATAAATAAACAAGCCTATATAAGGTAATACATTGAAAATAAATCTAAATACTTTTAAATTAATAAAGGAGTGTTGCATTCATTTATTTTCACAGTTTTTCTCATCACTTTTTATTTTCTTTGCTTATTTGTTTGACAGGATGAGTTGTGTTTATATTGGTTAATATTGAATTCCTGCGAGACTTCATGTTCATCAGCAGCTCTGTTGTGCTGACCTGCTGCATCAGAGAGGCTGGGGGGGTGGGGGGTGGGGGTGGGGGGTTATTTCAATCGTTTTTCACATCTGAGGGATGTTTGTGTTTTAATCCAAGACAGACACAGCCACCATGACTCACTCTGGCCTCTCCCCTGAGCCCAGCTGTTCCTGTAGCTCCAAGAAAAACTTAAACATTTGCCCTTTGACCTCTGTGTTTATCGGCTCAAAAATCTCAGGGGTCTTGTTGACGAATGAGGGAAAACTGGAGCGTGAGATCGATATGCGGATTGGTGCTGCATCTGCAGTGATGTGGGCGTAGTACCGGTCTGTCATGGTGAAGAGAGAGCTGAGTCAGAAGGCGAAGCTCTCAATTTACCGGTCGATCTACGTTCCTACCCTCACCTATGGTCTTGAGCTTTGGGTAGTGACCGAAAGAACGAGATCACGGATACAAACGGCCGAAATGAGTTTTCTCCGAAGAGTGGCTGGGCTCTCCCTTAGAGATAGGGTGAGAAGCTTGGTCATTCGGGAGGGGCTCGGAGTAGACCCGCTGCTCCTCCACATCGAGAGGAGCCAGTTGAGGTGGCTTGGGCATCTGGTCAGGATGCCTCCTGGATGCCTCCCTGGTGAGGTTTTCTGGGCACGTCCAACCGGGAGGAGACCTAAAGGTAGACCCAGGACACGGTGGAAGCGCTATGTTGCTCACCTGGCCAGGGAACGCCTTGGGATTCCCCCGGAGGAGCTGGCCCAAGTGGCTGGGGAGAGGGAAGTCTGGGCCTCTCGCCTTAGGCTACTGCCCCCGCAACCTGACACCGGATAAGCGGAAGAAAATGGAAGGATGGATGGAAAATACATCAATACCAGATGTTTCTTCTCAAGTCTGAGACTAAATAAACCTCAAATTGAAGTTTGTTAATGTCATTATGACATTTTAGCTCGAGAACGTGTTTGAGAAGTGGGTTTGGTGTGTTTATAGAGTCAGAAAAACACACAAAATCACACAGTGACAAACGACAACTGAACGTTTGATTGAAGTCTAACTCGGTGATCTTTAAAGTCACTGGTTTCCATTAAGTGGTTCCCTAATGAGGGAGATGGAGCCATGATTTGATGGAGAGACTCAGATGTCACTGCTCTGAGATTTTTATTTATTTTATTTATCCTCTCTAATAAATGTGTTCTTAAATTCTTCACAAATATAATCATAAAAACATTATTTATCAAGGAATTTCAGGTCAAACTGGTGAAACTGAACAAACTTTTTTGGGTTGAGTTAGAAAAAATTAAAAAAATATTTATTATAAAGAAAGCTGTGCTAGGTTTGTTTTTAACACAGATCTTGCCAAAAAGGCATCCACATGTCCTCTTCACTGCCTCTATCACTGACTGATAAATCTCAGCTCATCTTGAAGTTACTTTTTTTTGTGAGCGGGGCCAAAAATAGCTCTACTTTCAATAAACGGGTCAGTCAAGTCAACTGTGACTGAGCCTGCATAAATCCTCCCCTCACAAATTGAAGTGCTGAAAGCCTCAGGTGGGCATCAGTGCATCAATTAATCCAAAATGTGGCCGAACTAAAAATACACTTGGAAAGGTAAAAATGTATGAAATAATGCAGAGATTTTATGCATCAAAAGGCCAGAAAATGTTGACTTTCAATCAAACACACTAAGTCAGTTTGGGATCTTTTTGCATGTAGCTCCCTGTGTTTTTAGTTGTCTCAGTGGAGCACACGTTTAACAAAATACTAATTAAATGTAATTAAACTGCAGCCAAAATGTAATTAAATGTCATAAAGAGATGAGAGAGCAATGAGAATAAACCTAAAAAACCCACATCAGATCTTAACTGGCTCCAGTTCACAGACACTAACAATAAATCTACTAAATTAGAGCAGAGTCTTTATTGTCTTTGTGGATTTTACTTTTTCTTAAACAAGACGAAGAAACAATTGCTGACTAAAAACCAAAAAATAAATATTTTATTTGTTGACTTGCTGCTGTTGACAACAAATGCTTTAGAGCATCTTAATTAACAGTCCTAAGATAAATTTACTTGTAACAATTGATACTGATTACTACTCTTGCGCGTGTGTGTGTGTGCGTGTGTGTGTGTGTGTGTGTGTGTGTGACCAATGAGATATCGACCACAGATAATCAACATTAGCAAACACCATCATGATCTACTCCACCCTCTGACTCTTGATCTTGTGCTTATGTTTATGGATTTAGCAGACGCTTTTGTCCAAAGCGACTTACAAGTGTTTTCCCCTCATTGGTTGGTTATTGGACTCACCTGCCCTTCGTTAACCTGCCCCTCGTTAACTTGCCCCTTGTTAACCTAACCCTCGTTAACCTAACCCTCGTTAACCTGCCCCTCGTTAACCTAACCCTTGTTAACCTGCCCCTCGTTAACCTAATCCTGAGTATCTTATGTATTTTAACCCCGTTTTGCACTTGTCCTTTGTCAGATCATTGCAGTGTCTTCGTCATGTTGCTCCCGTTTGTGTCATCCTACCTATACCCATTATTGATAATGGTTAGGGACAGCAGTAGATCAGGTGGTAGAGCAAGTTGTCCAGTAATCAGAAGGTTGCAGGTTCAATCCCGGCTCCTGGCAGAAATTGCTGCTGTTGTGTCCTTGGGCAAGACACTTAATCCACCTTGCCTGCTGGTGGTGGTCGGAGGGACCAGTGGTGCCACTTTTCGGCAGTCTGGCTCTGTCAGTGTGCCCCAGGGTGGCTGTGGCTAGATTGTAGCTCATTCCCACCCATGTGTGAGTGTGTGAATGATTGTGTTGTGAAGACCCTTGGGGGGGGGTTGTAGAACCCTAAGAAGGTGCTATACAAATACAGGTTATATACCAATTAAAGCTGTTTTTTACCTACCTGCCTCCAGGTCCAGCTCCACCATACGTGGATCCACCACAATCTCCATCGCATCAAGACAAACAAAAGATTTGCAATAACTCAGCCAGTTTTACAGGTTTCAATTATCATTCATGACACATGAGCAAAGTGTAGATAAATTGCACAAGAATTTGCAAACAAGTGTGAAGATATGCATGATGTCATTATTTTAAAGATTTGACCAAAACAGGAAGTTAAACATTTTAAGTAAAATACCAGCAGAACCAACATCAACATTTAGGAAAACACACACACACACACACACACACACACACACACACACACACACACACACACACATGCTTGCACACACTCATACTCACACATACACACACACACGTTGCCTTTTAAACTCGCTTTGGGTTCATGAGGCCGTCAGGCTGGAGAACACATTACATAACACGGTCATAGAAGGACATCATTAAAGGCAATGCCACACAGACAGGAGCTGCCCCCCCACCCCCACCTCCTCCATATACCCTGAAAGCATCTTAGGAGGGATGCCCTTCAGCTGCCCACATCTCATTATGTGTGCTTCAGCCCGACCTGTGGCTTCACGCTGACATTCACTCTTTTATTTTCCATTATGTGCTCCAACTCTCCGACTCTAATGCTGCTCCTGCTGTCATGTACTAATTATTATAAACATCTCTTCTATGGGTCAAAGGTCAACTACAGATGTGAATACACTAAGGCAACATAATTTTTGTTTTGTGTACAAAACAAGAATCAAGAATTTAAATTGTTTTTCTGACAACCCCAGAGTCTATGAATATGAAATAATCAGAGATGAGAGCATTTTACGACCCCAGAATGTGAAAGAAAAATAATAATAAACGTTTTTAAGCCTGTTTTTATTGCACACTGGCTTTCCTGTCACAGTCCCGACCATTTCCTGCTACATTTCTGTTTCTAATATTTAGTGAGACCCAAGATTCTCCAGTTTTCTGATAGCTAGACAAAAGCAGTTTTGGGGATGTATGTGTGCATTAACCTCCCAAAAATCACATCTCTTGCAGAACATAACAGTCAACCTTTTAGAAATAATGTTGATTAAATACTAAATGTTGCAAAATTCCACTTATATTTCATCTTAGTCGACTTTTGAATTGCTTTGACACGCAAAGCCTCCTTCAAAATGTGAAATTAACATCAAAACCTTTGCCACTTATCTGTTTCTATTCAAATCTGTGAAATTCCTCTTTACCTCTTGCAGCTCTTCTGGTCCAGCTAATGGGCCTTTATTAGTCGAGCCACATTTATTGCCACGATTGCTGCCAGTAATTGATTTTACTGTTGGTTTGGTTCCACTCACGGTACATTAAGTTCAATATGTTGCTTTATTTTTCCTCAGCGCTGCTCCGTGTTCAGTAGCTGTAAATATGAAGCTTTATGTTTATTTTGTTTTTAAGGGAAAATAAAAGTCAGTCCTGCTCCTTGTTTTCATGTGGACACACACACACCAGCACACGCTGTACCAGCGTGTTGACAGAAATAAAACAGACATCCTGAAAGATGAGATTTTACACGTAGTACATACTCAGTGAATCTGTTTGGTTGGGATAAAACACCCAAGAAGAAACCATGGGTGCAATTTTCTCTTGAAAAGAGCTGGTTCTAAATAACAGGAAAAATAATAAGTCTGAATTGGTGTAGAGCTGCAGACCAAATCAAGTCTTAAACATGAAGAGAAATGTGGAAGTCCTGTTCCAAATCATCACTTTATGCTCTTAAAATTATATTTCTGCTTTTTTTTGGCTGCATAATCATATAAACTTGTAATATAGCTCAGCCAATAAGATTTTTTTCTGCAATTTAGAAGTCCATCCATCCATTATCGTCTGCTTATGCGGGGTCAGGTCACTGGGGCAGCAGCCTAAGTAGAGAAGCCCGGACTTCCCTCTCCCCAGCCACTTGGGTTAGCTCCTCTGTGGGAACCCCAAGGCGTATCCTGTGCAGGTGAGAGATATTCCCTCCAGCATGTGCTGGGTCTTACTTTAGGTCTCCTCTGGTTGGACGTGCCCGGAAAACCTCACCAGGGAGGCATCCAGGAGGCATCCCAAACAGATGCCTGAGCCAGCTCAACTGGCCTTTCGATGTGGAGGAGCAGTGGATCTACTCCGAGCCCCTCCCAGATGACTAAGCTTCTCACACTATCTCTAAGGGAGAGCACAGTCACCCTGTGGAGAAAACGTATTTCGGTCGCTTGTATTCACAATCTCATTATTTTGATCACTACCCAAAGCTCATGACCATAGGTGAGGGTTGGAACGTAGCTCCACCGGTAAATCGAGAGCTTTGCCTTCCAGCTCAGCTCCCTCTTCACCACGACAGACCGTTACAACGCCCGCATCACTGCAGATGCAGCACCAATCCGCCTATCGATCTCGTGCTCCATCTTTCCCTCACTCCTGAAATACTTAAACTCCTCCACTTAGGGCAGACTCAAGACCATGGTCTCAGATTCAGAGGAGCTGATTCTCATCCCAGCTGCTTCACACTCGGCTGCAAACCGGTCCAGTGAAAGACGGAGATCACGTTCTGATGAAGCCAACAGGACCACATCATCTGCAAAAAGCAGAGACCTGATCCTAACAGATCCCCTCACTACCTTAGCTGCACCTAGAAATTCTGTCTGAAATTTTAGAGACAGAATCCACTTTTTCTTTAAATCTTTCGGGTTTCTCCTGCACATCATAGTTTCTTCAAGTATGGAATTTCAATATCATAATCTCTGTTTCTGTGATTTTTTTTTATTTTCATTTAGAAAAACAAAAGTGTTTCTCTTTGTGAACACTGCAAGTGAGCAGTGCATTGAATATTACATCTGTGTTTACTGGAATTATACACAAACCCCTAAAATCTATTGGGCCAATTCATCCTGAGGACAGGTGTGCTGATTACTGATGGATGACAGGTGTTTGAAGAGCTGGAAAAAACTCAAGATGTACAAAAGTATGAAGAAAAAGAAAAGGTAGGATGTTTTTGTGTCTGTGGATGAATTAATAAAACCAAGTAAAGAAGGATCCTAAAGTGCAGATAGAAATGCTGTCATTAGGACAAGACAGGATCGCTGTAGATCAGTGACTTTTGTGTTTAAAGAGCAAGTCACCCCCTACAAGAAACTTACTTCACTCTCACTTCATGTTTGAAAAATGCAACAAATGCTGTTGCTTGGCAGACCGAGAGGGCGGAGCCGCTAACAAATACACACACACAGGCTCACAATGGCATTATGACATCATAATGTACCAGATGACATCATAGCATACCTCTTAGCCAATAGCGGTGGCAGATTTAAATTCAAATACAGTGCAGAATTTTTCCCTGACGATGGCACAACACTGCCAGTTTTAGGCAGAATATTTGAATTTTAACCAAGACGCACTGAACTGCCAAATTATTGACTACACGTGTCTGTAGCATGATTAGACACTCCTTTATATAGTTTATCAGCAAAAAAAATGTGATTTGGGGGTGACTTGCTCTTTAAGTCGGAAAAGAAAGCTCTCAAACATTTATTTTCCACAATCATATTTTCCTCCCTGATCATTTTACTGAGCTGATCTAATTAGGTATTTATTAAATGTGCTCTCATACCCAGAAGGTCTAATGAAACATTTCTGGTTTTAATGTTTAATGGAATTCTCATCAGTAAACATGGATTTGTGGGTAAATTTACATATTGAAATGACACAAAGCTAATTATATGTTCAGCATTGTGAGTTACCATGGTGACCAAAAAGCGCTTCCTTTTTAAAAAAAAAAATAACACACACACTCACACACATGCACACAACCCATCATGGGGCAGCAGTAGCTCAGGTGCCAGAGCGGGTTGCCTCATGATCGGAGGGTCATGGGTTCGATTCCAGCTCCCGCCAGGGGTATCCTGCTGTTGTGTCCTTGGGCAAGACACTTCACCCAACTTGCCTGTGTTAGTGGTGGTCAGAGGGGCCGACGGCACCAAATAGCAGCCTCGCCTCTGTCAGACCTCCCCAGGGCGGCTGTGGCTACAAGTAGCTTACCATCACTGGCAGTGTGTGAATGTGAGTGTGTGTGTGAAAGCGTCTTTGGGTGTCTAGAAAAGCGCTATATAAGTTCAATGCATTATTATTATTATTATTATTGTTATTATTATTATTATTATTATTATTATTATTATTATTATTACTATTATCATGGATCAGGGTGGAATCTGTTTCTGATGGTCTGGACTCTTTCTGTGCAAAGATAACCGAGGTTAGAGGTCAGCAGTGACATCGACATGAATCTTACTCCAAAGGTAACAGAAGGATTTAAAACAACCCTCAGTAGTGATGATGATGGAAAAAACGTCATCACAGAAGAAAACTTTTCTGCAATATGTAGTATTAGATGTTACAATAGCACCGCCTAGTGGAGATTTCTAGTAATTGTGTTCAGCCCATTTAAAATGCATAATTTGCTATTTGTTTAAATAATTTAGACGTGGTTCTTTCATTTTTATGCGTAAAACTAAAGATGCTGTAAATGCTATCATTTCTTAAAGGAAAATCCACATCAAGGACAAATCAGTGATTGCCTATGTAGTTTACTCTTATGAAATGTTATTTTAGTCTTTTATTGTGAAATTCCTGAGAGAAACCTCACAATAGGATTCCTGCTGTGAAAATCTATAAACATTTTTATCAGATTGTGTAAATTACAGCACGTGTTGTTGTTTGAGGACTTTTTTCGATTGTTATATTGACCTTTATGTCATATCTAAGGCAGCATTCCTTCCACCTTTTGTTCCAAACTTCCTCCAACTGATCATCTGTTCCTCATTAGATATTAAAGTCACTTCCTTTAAATGTATGCCTCTATTTTGCCTCCAGTTCTATTTTTTATTTTCCTTTTATTAAGTTTTACTTTCCCCTTTGGGGGTGTATTATATTGTGTTTAAACTTTTCAAGCCCCTCACTCTTTTACTTTACCAACTTTTAATCTGTTTGTTTAATCTGTCAACCTTTTTTGTAATTTAACTTCCGCCAGAAGGTCCTGTCATATGTAATAGTCTAGAATTAATTTAAAGTGTATTTATGACTGTAAATGGACAAATGAACACAATACATCTATTTTTGCTGAAACCTTATCAAATCTCACAACAGGACTGAAGACTGACAGGGATCCAGTCTCAACTTCTGTGACAGTGTTTGCTTTTATACTTACTGCAGATTATATGTCACATTTGCAAAGACAATATTCATCCAGCAACTAAAGGCCTTCAGTGCAAACAATCATCTGAAAGAAATGTGACTATGTAAAAAATCCACATTTTTCTGGTGTGATTAAATTAGCTGATGGCTAGTTTTTGCAAACTAAAGTCTATTCTTATGAAATGATGGCTGGATTTATTATGTTTGTCTTTTTGGGGCTATGAAGGACACCATTAGTGTGTCTTTATTTCTGTGTTTTTCTGTTGTTGCTGTAGCATGTGAATTTGGGCATGAATTGTCAAATGACTTGCAAAGCACCTTGGTATTTATTTACCTGTTTTCACAATTTAAATTTAATTAATCTGGATTTTTTTTAAAGCAGCTTCCCACATACATTTTAAATCTTAGATGTCAAACTCACAAAATGCCCAAATAAGTTCGACAAACCTAAAAAAAGAAAAAAAAATGACAGGAAAAGAGAGCCTAGTGTTTGTTTGTGGGCGCAATACATGTAGTTGGCCACTAGATGGACTGATGTCACACTTTCATGTTTATGGACGGCAAAAGGCGACATTTAAAATCTTTTCACTTTGTTTTATGATCAAAAATTGATCTTTAACCTTTCTATTCTCTTTAAGCGTTTACAATAAAAATCATTGTTGCTTTTTTTCTTCTAAATTTTATTTTCGTTAAGCTGAATGGGCTTAAATGGGAAATAAGTCAAAGTAACAGTGAGTTGAGAACTTTTCCAGGCTTTAATCATCTCCCATGCACTCTCCGATTAACACGTTCGTAGACTCAAGCATGTGTTGAGCTGATGTCTCCACAAACTCGAAGACGTTGAAGAAAGGCGGTGCCAGAGCCTGCTGGAGCAAAAGGGTCCTGGGTCATATATCCTGATGCACAACAGGGGAACTCCTGTCTGCAGCTCGGTCCCTCCTGGGAGACACTCAGCAGCGCAACAGCGGCAGCAGCATGGACGGAACCAAAGGAGAGGAGCGCTCAGCCGAACAGGCAGCGTCTTTATTTGGGACATCCGAGCTGGAGAACCAGAGGAGCGACTCAGAGCGCAGAAAGAAAAGGATCTGTAAAATCATCTCCGGGGTATGTTCAGGAGAGCTAGAGAACTATTCTGAGCTCTGCAGGGCAGCAGATCTGCTTTAATTCGATCAAATTACTTTTTAGTTAATTATAAGGCATTCGGGAAAGGGTAGAATGCCTTCTCCGGGTCAGGGATGAGGTCCTGCCCCAGGTGAAGGAGTTTTAGTATCTCGGGGTCTTGTTCACGAGTGAGGGAAAACTGGAGCATGCGATTGATAGGCGGGTTGGTGCTGCGTCTGCAGTGATGCGGGCGTTGTACCGGTCTGTCGTGGTGAAGAGAGAGCTGAGTCAGAAGGCGAAGCTCTCGATTTACCGGTTGATCTACTGTATGTTCCTACCCTCACCTATGGTCATGAGCTTTGGGTAGTGACCAAAAGAACGAGATCACGGATACAAACGGCCGAAATGAGTTTTCTCCGAAGAGTGGTTGGGCTCTCCCTTAGAGATAGGGTGAGAAGCTCGGTCATTCGGGAGGGGCTCAGAGTAGACCCGCTGCTCCTCCACATCGAGAGGAGCCAGTTGAGGTGGCTCGGGCATCTGGTCAGGATGCCTCCTGGACGCCTCCCTGGTGAGGTTTTCCGGGCACGTCCAACCGGGAGGAGACCTATAGGTAGACCCAGGACACGGTGGAGGGACTATGTCTCTCACCTGGCCAGGGAACACCTTGGGATTCCCCCGGAGGAGCTGGCCCAAGTGGCTGGGGAGAGGGAAGTCTGGGCCTCTCGCCTTAGGCTGCTGCCCCCGCAACCTGACACCGGATAAGCGGAAGAAAATGGAAGGATGGATGGATATAAGGCAGCCTAACCTTGAATGTGTCTAAAATGACCCAAAATTATAAGAAATTGCTTTTATAGCTGTTAATCGGGAAAAACAACAAAAGTCAGTAATTTGTTAAGTTTTAATTTTAGTGGGAAAAAAACATGAAAAAATTGCTATTTTCTGTTGATGCTAATATGCCTTTCACCACCTTGGATTGAGAGTGATGCAAAAACTGCACACATTTAAGTATTTGTTGGGATATAAATGTCATCTCGGATGAACAACTGTGAACTGAAGCAAGATGACCGCGAGTTACAAAACCCCACAGCCCCCATGTCAGCATTTTTACTCTGCTTGCTTTAGATGTCATAAATCTGCAGCTGCCTCACAGCTGGGAGTGTTAAAGGAGCCTGTGTGAACGTGGAAACTTACTGTTTTCACTCCAGTGCAGACACAAGAGGCCAGGAGAGATTGCAGGTGGGCATGACCTGGGTGTTGTTTCTGGAAAGCAGAGCTGGACCTCCTAGAAAGTTTGAATCACAAGTGGTGGCAACTTTAATTGCAAACTTATTTTCCTGTCGACTCTGAGCTATTTTGGGTCGTTGTGGTGTTATGGGCGGTAGATTAATTTGTTCATAACATGTTCAAAAGTGACTGTTTTTTTGTCAAATCAGCAGGTCATAACTCTAAAGTGTTCAGTGAGACCAAGAAAAAGTTTAAAATTCAAGATTAAAAGAATTTGTAGCAAAATGAGATACTTGTTTCCTTAAATCATAGATCGAGTTTTAGTTTCCTGCGATGCATGAAGTATATTCAAGATGGCAAAATCCTAAACGTTTACCAAATATGACAAACCGTATTATTTTTAGATCTAACATTTTAAGAACATTTTAATTCTTTCAATGTGAGTTTTCCCCTATATATTATAGGGGAAACGACACTGGCGGTCCTAGGGGTGGAGCCACAGGAGCACTGACCCCTGCTGAAATGTGATTGGCCCCCTGAAGTGCTCTTGTTCTGTCAATCAAATTATAGGTGGATAGAAGTCCAACACAACTGGCTCTAATGAGTCAAATAGAAATTTCCTGCGTGAAATATTGTGTCAGGATGTTTGACTGATACTTGGCCCCCTTATAAATAATGAGGCTCCTTGATGGCCCTATACTCAGAAAAATCATAAATCACATACAGGAAGAAAGAAACGTGTTTAAAGAAAAAATCTTTGTTTTAAGATCTTCGTGCTTCCCAAATTGTTATGCCGAGTGATGCACTCTGCCAAAAGCCAAGTTTTCATTTTAGAAGATTTACGTCCGTGGACCGTAAACTAATCTCATCTGACAGTTTACACGTAACACAAACGATTCACTGCAATTTAAACTCCCAGCTGGAAACCACAGGAACCAGATGTGTTCTGTTTGGCACCGACGAGACCATGTGGGTCAAAGTCTAGACGATGCTTCGAGTTTGTGATTAAAACCTGCACTTGCTCCAACCTGTAGGTTGTTTGTTAAACTCCATCACACCAGTCGTCACTTAGGAAACCCCAGCTTTAACCTCAGTTTAATTCCCACCATTGCTGTAAAGAGACAACACATTCTGATGAACGGAGTCGGTGGAGTTGACTCATAAGTCTGCAGACAGGCTGTTTACTTTCACAGCCCACGTGAACATGTGAGAGGTTCTCCGTGGAAAAAATAAAATCCAGGTTTCCTGTTTAACATCGCTGTAGAGACTGAGTCCTCGGACCAAGCACGCAGCGTTTTTAATTTTTTTCCTCGAGTGTCTAGGAATTCCAGATGATGTGTGTGTGTATGAATCGCACTAAAGAGGATTACTGGTGGTTGATGATTCCCACAATCTTGCCTTAGAGATGCAACAGCCAAGTACAACAGCTCGCTTGCAATGTCAATAAAATAATCCTACCAACCCGCGAGTTTTAGCTGGATTTGTGGAATTTTCTGCAATATTTAAAGTTTTTTTTTTTGTTGTTGTGAAAAAGTGCAAAAAAATCTATAGATAGAAGAGATGAGAAGAAAGCTGTTATGAACTTCTTTGAAAGAGCTGTACAAATCTGAGATGATCCGATGTAAACAACCACATAAACCACCCAAGATCTCTGCATAAACCAAGTTCCCTTTGAAACGCCCGTCTAATTACAACTCCTCACTCCCAGAGAGCTCCTTCTCCCAGATCAGATCCCAACTCAGCAGCTCTTGAACATTCGACCCAGATGGAGATGTGAATGAGTGGGAGGGGCTTAACGACAGGCTCCTAACGGATGATTAAAGAGGTGTGATGGTCTCCAAGCAGCAAATGTGGTCCTTATGTTGGTTTACTTTCAGGGCTGAAACTTCTTATTCCAAATGTTTCATATGTAGCAGACAAACTTCACAGATATTGATCTAAAAGATAAACATTTGAACCCATCTTTGATGCATTCAGTCTGATTAATAACCTCTGTCACCTGAACTTTAGATCCTGCTGCTGTTCCTACTAATTACCCTTCTGGCTGTTGTGATTTCTGTGAAACTAGGCGATAAAGAAAAAGGTAAGTTTTTTTGTCTTAAAGGGATATCGGTCAGTTTTGGTTTGCTTCAGCTAGTGTTCCGTTAGAGAAAGGAAAATTGAAACGTATCTCCTCGCTGCGCGTTCGTCTTTTTAACATCTTAACTAACTGCTGAAATGTCTCCTCAGCCTTCATTAGTTTCTGCAGGGGCGGTTCATCACTAAATCAAACAAATCAGCTGTTTTCATGATCAAAACATGCAGGAAACATGCTGGAAGCAGACTCCAGCTCCAGGATTGTCAGCTCCACTTTATAAAGTCCAACAAGGTCCAGAATGGCACTCTAAAGTTGCAAGTGCAAAATTTTGGCCACAGAAGGCGGTGGGGTCTGAGTAACATTTCTTTAAACCTTTAAAGGGTAATCTTAGCACAAATGACTCAAAAAAATGATTTAAAAATATGAAAAAGTTGCACAGTATGCCTTTCATGTATGATACAGCCAGTGATTTGCTCAAAACAGAGTTCCTGGATATATATAAATATATATATATATATATATATATATATATATATATATATATATATATATATATATATATATATATATATATATATATATATATATATATATATATATATAGTGTTTCTCTGCATCAGTTCTCCTCATTAATCAAGGGTTCTGCAGGACAAATTAAACAGGTAAATCATCTATTGAATCGGGTGATTTGGAGCAGGAAAATAACTCTAACATGCAGGAAAGTGACGCTCGACAATCAGTATTGAAGAAAACTACATTAAAAGAAAAATTAATCCTAAATTTGGTCTAATATAGACTTCTTATTAACATTTTAATGAAAACTTTCCCTACAGTCCCACTTATTCTGAGTATGAACAGTTAAGATATTTATGCTGGCCATTTCTCTGCAGAGATTCCTGTAAAGACTGAAGCTGGAAACCACTAACATGATGTAACTGGGATTCAGATGGGGTTTGGCTGTGTGTCCTTTTTTCCAAAATAGAAAAAAGTTGGAATTTTTTTTTAAATAAAACTGTAAAAGTACCTCAGTTGTTCTTTATTCTCCTTTAAATAGATCAGAGGATTATTTTAAATGGAAATTCCACACAAACTGAGAGAGTTGTATGTTCTCAAATAAACCCTCCACATTCATGCATTTCTGTGCCAGACATTTCTTCCTTTGAGTGTAGACATTCCAGATGCAGGCATCGGAGTGTTTGTTTTTCCTGTCTTATGGTTTTACGTGAGCTGTGAGTATTTCTTTGTGCTAGCGTGAGACTCTGGCTACATTTGTTCATGCTTGTCTTTTTTTGGGTGCAATTAAAAATCAAAGCTCCACAGAGGCATAGCTACAAACCTGCTGCATTATTGGAAAACTCACTTAATGCTGATCCTGCTGAAGTCCCACAGGTTTCTTGGAAACTCAAAACTGGGAGTATTTAAGGAAGGGTTGAAGGTGGGTCGGATTACTGAGATGCTTTTTGGGGGGGGGGGTGTTTAACCCCTCAGACACGCTGTCTCTAGTTAACCCTTTTATTCTGTACACATTTGTTACAAAACATGTCATGAATGCACTTTTTCCCATGAGATGGGAATGTTTCCAGCATTCCCTCTGGTTAGATGTGGGCAGCAGCTTCTGTATACTCTTTGTTGCAAACTGGCAGGCCCAAAACGCCCCTTTTTCCTTTTCTAGGGCAGCAGTGGTGAGTGTGGCCAGCTGTCATTAAGGGTGGGGTGCTCCCTCTGCTGTGGTACTTTTTCGTCTTATTTTCCTGCCCAGACAACATGAAAGCCACATGGGAGTTTTCACCCCCTCTGGCTCTTATTTACGTGTGTTACGATAAAGCAGCGCGATCTTTAGCAATGCTGCTCTCTTGAAGTAAGTTTTGGGAAGAGATGAAAAAACCCACAAATAATCAAAGACTTTATTCTAATTCAGAGGCTAGCTGTGTGTCATGTTAAATGCTGAGGGCAGAGTTTCCTGTAGATTATAAATCCATGGATCCTCCTGAGACCAAGCATCACCCGAGTACGGTCTAAACCACACTGCTGGCCTCAAGGCAGTGAGGCGGGGCCTTCTCACTAGCACAAGACTCCCTCT